ACGCAGAATCACGTTATGCTTAGAAGAAGCTTGGTAATTTAATAGAACATTTTGTTATAAGCATGTTTAAATAAAAATATTATTTATCTTTATTTTGTAAATTGTGTTATTTGTTTAATAATCGTTTAATGTTTACTAATTTTATTATTATGTTGTTATTAATATTTCTATTATTAAACAACTCCTATTGCATATATATTATTAAATCTTACACTATACCAGAATGGTAAAACTCAAATTTCTTTTGCCTTATTTTCCGCCGGACTTGCGATCTAACCTTATTCTGCACGGCCGGTAAAGCATGCCCCTGCCGATAAACAAATAGGCAACCCGACTTACTGATCTGTATGTTGCGGAAGCACCCTGTACAAAACATCCAGTGCATATGTTTTTAATATGTTGTTTATTGTGCTGTTTGGATCGCTTATACTTAAGGTTATATTTTTTTCTCCTTACACCCCAAAGAATTATTTACCCCAAATAGTAGGTACTTGGATTCTCAGAGATGGAGTGGATCAAATTAATTTTTTTAGGATGGGATTACAGATTTTGTTTGTTATTACCAAGAGGTAATTTTACTTGGTATTCCAACTACCGAGTAGGATTATTCCCTTACAAAAAAAACCGACGGGCGGGGGATTGTAATCCGTGTAATCCAAATACTACAATAACTACAGAAAAATATTACAATAACCACACACACATATTACAGTAACTACACATAAATATTACAGTAAACCTTTTTTTGCACTACGGTCTATGGATTACAGAAAAATATTACAGCGATTAAATATTACAGGGTGTGTATATTACTATTATAGTAATATTACAGTTATAATTACACAGTCTGTAATATTCTACCTGTGATCCATCACGTGATATATAAACGACAGAGAGCTATGTATATAGAGAGCGAGATCAATTTTTAATGTAAATTAAGGCATATACATAATGTATTACTTTGTAATAAAATGCAAGTTCTTCGCGAAACGTTATGCAAAAACAATAACATTATATCGCAACATTTTTCTTATATCCTTGAAGAATCAGACAGTATTACATGTTGCCGACTTTGCGACATTGAAAATAAATGTATTCGGGTTCGAAAATAATAATAACAAATTTTGTATTATACCTTTAGTAAATACTATCGAAACCGATTAATATAAATATGTACATCACGCGTATATAAACAATAAAAAACCACTAATTTTATTACAAAATATCCAAGTATTATTTATTCGACTAGAATATGTTGACCTATACAGTCTGTGCAATATATTGTTATTTATATACACTTGTATAATAATTATACTTATAAGCAATCGATTGAATGTATTAATAATTTTACTATTTTTGCACGATACGTCTCCTCTAATTCGCCGTGTTTATTCCAATTTACCAAGTACTAATAATATGCTGATTATTCTCTTTGAAAGTGTACATATATCTGTTTTTTGTGTGTTACAAACTGTATAATAATTGAATTGTAGTCCCGCCTTGTAATTTGTCTACTGCAATAAGTTGTCCACCGTAATATTTGTATTACAATAACTACACGCATGTGGTCCGTTGGATGTAATATTTTCGCGCGGGATTACAATAACCACATGGATTACAATCCCTCGCCCGTCGGTCTTTTTCGTAAGAGCTGATATTTATTAATAGATAACTGACGGATAAACTTACCAAGTAGTTGGAACAACCGGCCTAAAATCTAACAGTATAAATATGAATTGTTTTGTGCTACTGAGCATTAGATTTGCTCCAAATCTCAATCCTTCCAAATCCGCTTTTGTGATATTCTAAGGAATTCTAGTCGAATATTCTTGATGACGAGAATACTTCGTGTCAATCGTTTTTGAGATGGTTTCTTATGTTCTTACCATTCTAGTCGACAACGAATATTCTCGCTTTTTGGTTTTTTTAGTACGCATCTTTCAATAATATACATAAAACTCACATTAATTTAAAAAGAAAAGATTAACAAATTAACTGTTACCTTAATATTTTATCATGTAACTTAATGCATGCATCAAGTTCACGTTCATTTCTGATATCACGAATCTTCTGGGCTAACAGTTGTAATCTTGCGGCAGAATAGAATAAAAGAAGTGCAATATTACAATCAATACACATTCCGGCCGCAGCCTGCAAGCCGACTAATGATTGATGCAAGTAGATAATACTTTTTATCGGATGTTGTTCTATAAAAAACGGATATTTCGCATCAGTCGGAAACTGTTGTGGAAGAAATACTGGCCCACAAATAACACCAATAGCGGTTAGGTAACACCATAAAGCATAAATGCCGTAAACATGCTTGTGATTGTCAACATAATGTTGTAGCGTAATATTCGTTTTATCATCTGCCTCCTTGCAAAATGTTTCCATTTTATAATAAAGCTTCTGAAACAATTATTCCAAAATAACCGTATATGTAAGCTATTATTTTTAACATTAACGACCTTGAAAAATATTTTAAAAATATTAAAAAGAAAAATTATACTTATTTGCATTTCTCACAATTGTACAATTTTTTTTTACTTTTTTACATAATACATAATTTTTGTATCTTTAAATCTAACAAAAATATTCAAATGTTTTGTTTTTTGTTATTGTATTTATAGAATATACTTATAGGATATCCTACAATATACTTCGTATTTATATCCGGATATACATAAAAAATTTTATTTTAATTAAAATAAATATCACAAATATCTAGAAACTAGATATACAATTAAATGCCTGGTAAAACTGAAGAAAAGGAATCACCTTTTAATAACCTTTATATATATATATATATATATATATATACATATATATTTTAATAACCTTGATATATATTATCAAAATCCTATATAGTTATAAGTAAAATAAGTTTTCTAACACCATATATATTTAATAAAACGTATTCTTAACAGGTTTGTTTATTGAAACATAATAAATAAAATACATGGCAGAACCTCTCCCTTTATCCCCTCCACAAAACTCTAACCTAACCTAACTTAACATTACTCCGAGATGTGTAGGGGTTGAAGTGTGTATGTGTTAGGGTTTTTTGGAATGAAGGTGTAAGGGGAGGGTTTTCCCCATCTATCAGCCATGCATTCGATTTATTACACGTAAATAAATGTAAATACATTGTGTTTAAATATCGAAATGAACAATTACGTATACGTATTATATTTTAATATCGAAAATACACAATTTCTCATCGTATCACTTGCATTTCACACAAATAATTAATAAAATTTTTATTACTATATGTCAAATAAAGAAATTCGTGTAACAATATATTGAAATAATGAACAGAAACTGTGTATTTAACAATACTTCTATAATATAAGCAAGAGCAAAAAATATTTCCTACGTGATAGCAGTATAACAATTTTACTTGAAAATTCCTAAGCTGGAGATATATGAGAAACTAATTCTGTAGCTTTTATTGATGAATAAATCCTTACTGGCGTTCAAAAATTAAGTGTAATTTGAAATTTTTTGTTAATAATTTTTTAATAAAATATAACTGCCGGTTAAAACCTTTTTTGTATTTACTGAGGACTTTTATTTTACTAGAACCTTAATTATATATGTCAAGGTTAAGGTCATAGAAAGATGATTCCTTATTCTTTAGTTTTATCAAATGATTTACACTGTAAAAAAAACGGTAAATTTACATAACTAACAATAAGATGTAAACGATAAATATATAATTTACTAAATATATAATAAATTTACATTGCGACGATGAACTAGCCTCGGAATCACGCCAGATCCGAGGGAGCACGCCCAATGGAAATCGGTAACCCGCGGTACTTCACGATCTTCGGGAGTTAGGTAGCTTACGCGGCGTCGGCAGTAAATGCACGACTCGGTAACTCGCGGTATCGGCAATAAATACTCGATTCGGTAACTCGCGGTATCGGCAACAGATGCTCGATTCGGTAACTCGCGGTACTCCACGAAATTCGGGAGCAAGGTAATTCACACGTTATCGGTAACCGGAAATGGGCGCCAGGTGCGAGTAATCGCACCGCGGTATCGGTAACTTCAAAAGTTCTTTAAAATGTCCGGCCGTTCCCCGCTTAGTATATGGCAGAGGGGCGCAGTTCTTTTACTTGGCGTTAGAAATCTGGACTGAGAGGCGAACACAAGGACAACTCAATAATTAAGATTTAACAATAATGTATTTCAACGATTTGGTTACAAGGGTTAAAGATGAGTAGATCGTTCGGCTTGAGCCGATACGGCGGAAATACTCGCCATACTCCGGTCCTTCCGGGTGCAGCATCTTCGGAGTCCTCGATGCCGTCTGCAGCTGGGCGAGGTCCGCTGCTGCGTTTCTTTGCGAGTGTGTGGCTAAAACCAAAGCGGAGTTAGTCGATAGGGTTTGGATGGCGGAGGCAACGGGATCGCGGTACCTGACCTTGTCTGCTGCGGGGTCACTAACACGTGACACCCGTTGATGATCCCCCGGCGTCCGGTCTCTATGGCGATGCGGAATCTTTGCCCTGAGGCACAAAATACGCAATGCCGCCCGCACGGGGTCTCGCCTTACAACTTAAACGATAATAGACATAAAAAAACGGGAACGACATATAAAACAACGTGCGAAAATGGTGGAGCCTCGCGGGTTGCTCTCTCAACGCGAGGAGCAACTCCAGGACTCTTCGCTCACTCGGCCGGGCTATCGCCCTTGTGACGGCCCTCGAAAAGCGTCACGTCACAATACAAAAAAAAATTGTTTTTTAGAAATCCTGAGGGGGCACAAAAACGCGCAAAGTGATCTTTCTCCTTTGTGATGGTTCCCTTGTCAATATATTTCCGTTATTTATGTAATTTTTACATCTTAGTTGTGTAAATTTACCGAAATTTTTTACAGTGTAGATAGAAGTAGCACGTTAAAAAAGAAAAAAGATAGTACTATTAATATAAATCTTATAAAGACGTTGGCAAAGTTGCAAAATATTTTTCTATGGTATATGTAATGAAGATATAAATACTTGTATGAATAAAAGTTAATAAATTTTTGTGAATGCTAATCATATTATTTGGTATTAATAGCAAGAATTTTTATTTGTAAACATTTTCATAATTATTTGTATGCATTATACTTTACTATTAAATATATACCAAATTTATGTATATATGCATGTAAAATTTATTATTTATTTATGCTTATTTATTCTAAAATATAGATACATCGACGCTTTGTTAAAAAATTTTCATTAAGTCTTATATACGTACTTGAAATCGTGTATACTGAATACGACATATCATCATCTTAATCGTAGCTTGAAGTACTGCACAAGAGAGACAAACTGATTTTGCTAAAATCACAGGATTTTTAAGATACTCGTAAATTGAACTCAGCAATGGGAGTAATAATAAGATATTGCTGAAATAACACGTATACCACCAAGTTTTAAATAGAATAATGCCAAATTTCGTCGTTTTAGGTGACGGTGGCCACGCACACGTTAATGCAACACTAATCTTTGTAAACTGAATAACTTTAACTGGTGTAATTTTTGATGTCATTATTATAATATAGTTGTCGTCTATGCGTTTTATACACGTTATTGCTATATTCTGTGACAAATTGTCCTTGCACTTTCTAAACTGCCTTTCTCAGTAGTCTTGGATACAGTATTTTGCGTTTGCGCGTTGCAAAAGCAAAAGAGGGTAGAGCTCCGCAAGAATCAAGAAAGCAAACTATAGGTAGATTTATAGTTATGTCTTAACTTCATTTTGTAATTTTTATGATGATTTTAATAATTGAATTATATATATTGATTCTTAACTTTTCATATGAATTAAAATTTTGTATAGAAATATCTTGAAATTCCCGTTTCTTACTAAGAAAATCGAATACAATGACAAAAATGTTGATTTTAATACACGCTATAACTTCAAATACACAGCTTGTTATGGAAGCAAACCTATTAATAAATTAGGTATCTCGTTGTGTATCTAGTGTCTGTAATCATACCCTTCGTATGAACTTAGTGTCTGTAATCATACCCTTAGTAAAGACTATATCCATGTATGAGAATAATAATAGGTTATATATCGAAGCAGTTAAGAAGATCTTGACGTTGTTTGTTTTATCGACAATATTTTTTTTTTAATATTTTTTTATTATTTATATAGAATTATAAATCCTTTTTCAGGTTTAAAGTGTGCAAAAAAAGAAAAGGCGCAGTAATCAACTTTATTCCAAAAAAGAAAATTAATTATAAAGTTACATTTCTATTTACCTGCGATTGTAGAACGGAGATATTTCCGGTGTATAGTGCTGTAGAGACTTTAATCGTTTAGTGCATTTATATTCTCTTGATGGTAATCTTAATAGATATCAGAGGTAAGAACAGCATTTAAAACAATTAATTAATAAGATAATTAGGCGAACAGGAAATGTATAGGGATCCGGGCTCACGGCCCACAAGGGCCATCTAAATAGATAAATAAGATGGTATATAACAAAACAAGATTACTCATCGGATACAGATGTGCACTTCAAAGAACCTAATACAAATAAAAACAATACACCTAAAAATTATTTCTAACAAAAAGTTTATTTCTAACGAAGACTTTCTAAAGAAAAATTTATCATAATTCAAGAAAGATTGTATAAAAAAGATCATAGTAAACATAAAGAAACTAAGAAAACAATAAGTCTGGGTCGATTTTTCTAAATTAAACATTGAGCAATAAATTTGATATTGTATATTTTGAAAGCAATAAATTAGAAAAAAATTTTAAGGTTACAATATTTACAGCAATTAATTGCATTTATGTACTTTACTCTTGTAGTCAAGTTAGCGCCACAAGTTCGTGTCGATTTTTCTAATTAAACTACAAGCAATAAATTTGTAAATGGTTTTATTACGTCCTGACTTGGAGAAGTCAAGGGAGGATAGTAACAGTCGAGTATCACCGGTCAGATTTCAAGGGTCTGACCCAGTGACCCGAACGGTTCGTTTATAGAAATCTGAAAAATGAGTCAACGACTGAGGGTCACTCTTATTCCGTTGTTCAGTATTGTCGTTCGGATGGTTCCCTTTTTGGTCTGAGATAGTAATCTCAATTACCAGGGATGGAACCAGTGCAAACCAGAAAGGAAATGATTAAGGAGGTCAAATGTAAAAAAAAATTAAAGCGAGGCGGTTTCTGAATAAAAGATAATCATTTTTAATGGAACCAATAATTAATACATTAATGAATCATTACAAAAAATAAATCCTAAATTTTTAATTATAATAATAATATCAATATTTCATTACAAAGATAAAATAATTCTAATAAATAATAGATCTGTGATGACCTTATTTTTGTATTGATAAATATGCGTGCGTGTATGTGTGTGGAGTCTATTCTTCTGGAGGAAAGTAATTGTTTATGTGAAGAAGAAGCAGGAAAAGTGTAGTGAATAGGTTTGGAGAAGCATAAGGTAGGGTCGGAGAATCTCGGAGAGCGGGTGAGTTATAGAAATCTTGATTTAGGTAGAGGTTTATCTCATCGTGGATGGAACCTATGGATGCGCTTAGGGAAAAGAAATTAGCATAGTTTGGGTCAATTTCTGCGATAGCGGCAAAATGTTGATATAGGACTGCATTCAGAGGATTTTCCTGTGGTTCTGGAAGTGAAAGCGGCCATGAGGGAGATCTAGGCGAATCAGAGGGTAATGAATCGGTTTGTGTATACATGTGGCGAGTAATTGACTGTCTAGTTCGCGAAGAACGACGTTTGGAAGTAGGAATGCTAGCTTAATGGCAAATCAGCACCCCCATCTTTAATATTATTTTCCTGTTAATGGGTAGAAGCAATAAATTCGCGCTTAGAGCAACAAATTAGCACTTAATTATGCACTATATCTGAACCCGATTTTTCATGGTGGGGTTGCCAGCTTAATAGAAGTGATTGTGATACTGTTACTGTTTAAAATTATAATGTATTTTTCAAATTTAAAAAGCGCAGGTCAATTTGACCCATCGAATATTCAGAGTCAAAATATTATTTCGCTTGTTTTCAATTCCGCGAGCGAGAAGTCGACAAAAACTCGGCTTTGTCTCGAATTCCGGAGCGTGATAGGACAATCGCGAGCGAATCCGATTTCGCCTCTCGTGCCACGCGTCGATCGGATAATCGATCGCCGCCGCAGCTACCGAATTCTCGAGATCGGAGCAGGAGTCTACCCGAGGAGTCCGATCCGATAAGACGACTCCGTATATTAGCGAAAGACAAAAGGAGAGTGTATAGCGCGACGATTAATCGCGAGAGAGCGAAAGCACGCGTTTCGATTCCTGTTCTTGTGTGTCAAGAAATAAAGAGAATATTGGACAAATCAATTTCTATGCCTTTATTTCCAACTGGATCCAGCCTCCTTCGAGATCGACGAACCGGTAAAATAAAATAAAGAATTTTACCTCTGCGCAAAGAAAAAAAAATATATATCGAAGGTTCTCGTACAGAAGTAAAAATGATACAACTTACACCATATCGCATTATATGAAATCTATACAGTTTAATATCTTTTTTTTTTTGCAATAACGAGTGGTAAATCCTTAAAAAATTTTTTTATTTTGATAAACTGTAACAGTACGCGCTGTTACGAAGCGCCGATCGGGCTCCGCGTAAACACTCCCCATTGCGGGCCGCATTCCCCAACTCGAGGGTAGTAGCCCGAGAAGGGGTAGCTGGCGGGCAGGGTAGCATCCCGAGTGGGGGTAGCGCGACCGGTATAAAAGCCAGCTCGCGGAGCAGACCAGTACCATTCCCCCGAGTACGATTCGGACAGGCCTCAGGGCGCACTCTGAAGCTCCAGTCGTACTCGCTCCCGTCCTGACCATCGGGAAAAGGGCAGGGCTTCTCTGCTCCGGCCGGGTGTTCCCGGCGTTCGACTTCCAATATTCCGTCAATCTAGGAGCAGGGCGTTCTCTGCTCCGGTCGGGTGTTCCCGGCGTTCGACTTCCAACATTCCGTCGATCTAGGAGCAGGGCGTTTTCTGCTTCGGTCGGGTGTTCTCGGCGATCGACTTCCAACATTCCATTGATCTAGGAGCAAGGCGTTCTCTGCTCCGGTCGGGTATTCCCGGCGTTCAACTTCCAATATTCCGTCGATCTAGGAGCAGGGCGTTCTCTGCTCCAGTCGGGTGTTCCCGGCGTTCGACTTCCTCGTAGGAAAGACGATTCTCTCTCTCCGGACGTAACGCTTCCGCTGTTTATGTACTTCTAATAATTCATTCGTTCTCATATATTTTTGTTTACGACAACACCGTTGAGATATTAGATTATAGATAATAAAATACTCATGTACTCATACTCATTGCTATTTTTTTTATGTTTTATCATCTTCAAATATTTATCTGAATAAATTTATGTTATTTAATTTACTTTTGTTAATTTGGAGTCTTCCGACAACCACCTGAATGAATCCTGACGAACCGTCGAGCTATTCTCTGCATCGTAAGAATCCGCTTCGTTACATGCGTAAGAATCCGCTTCGTTACAAAACTTTATAATAAAATTGAAATTTACGATACAATACAATATGAACCTTACAATAAAATTAATAATGTGTGTGGTAATAATAATATTTAATGATAACGGGGCCTCTTCGGTCTCGACCACCACGGCCGTCTCGACTGCCACTTCTTCTTCGGCTGCCACAGGTACTTTGACAAGCACCGCTTTGGCCAAATTTTAGCCGCGTTGTACACCTGGTCACACTGTAACGGTTCGAATTTATCTCGCGATCTTATTACTAAGCGTGGAATAGCTCGCCAGTGCCAAGATCCGGGATAAGTGGTCAGATAGGGAGACTCCAATCAAGTAGACCAGTTAGGGTAACAAAATAACTATATTCTTAGATATATTAGTTGGTAATACATTTACAAAGCAATTTATGTGGCGCAAGCGATAGCCATCGAATTAGCGTGTGCGCGGAATAAGCGGTGCGTAAGTGAGAGCGCAAGCTGAGCGGTCTAAAGCGGGGAAGCGCAAGAAGAGCGCACAAAAGCGGGAGTAACTAATAGGTTACGATACGCCGCGGAAGAATACAAGCTAGAGACTTCAAGCGAAAGAATACAAACTAGAGGATACAAGCTAGAAAAGATAAACTATTAAATACAAACGAAAGAATACAAACTAGAAAATATAAACGAAAGAATACGAACTAGAGGATATAAGCTAGGAAGCGCGAACTAAAGAATACTTAATTCTGCGGAGGAACGGGCGGTATATACGGGACGTCGAGTGCTCCCGACGGAGACAGAGTGCTCCCAGTCTTGAAAGGGACGGTGAACGGATGCCGAGTGCTCCCGGCGCGGACAGAGTGCTCCCTGTCCTGAAAAGAACGGATTGCTTGGAAGAGCCGAGTCGGAGTGCCT